TCCTGACCTAAGTGTTTGACAAATTTAGGGTCAACAAAGTATTATTGATTTGACGAGGAGATTTTATCAAAAAAGTTAATCATATTGCATGATCAAGATCATATAGTAAAATTAGTTATAATCTAATTTTAATTAATCTCAATGCCTAGTGCCTACTAAAGCAAAAATGTGTCCATAGCTGTAAAACCCCTTAGAAGTTCATTTTTTTGAGTGCTGTTCGTCCGTATGAACCTGAATTTGTCAGGACGAAATTTGTTCAGAGGAGAAATCGTCCCGGGACGAATAGGAATCGTCCCGGGACGGAATCGTGAATCGTCCCGTACTATCCTGCTTGATAAATAGAGGATTTGAGATATTTTGAAGAGAGAGAAAAATAGGAGAGAGAAAGAGAAGGAAAAGAGAAGGAAAAAGCTTAGTTTTGGAGGCTGCGGTGTGCTTTCGTCCGTCGTCGCTGTTGAAAAATTTGTTTGTCTCGAAGTAAGGAATCCGAATCCTATTTCTGATTTTAAAGATTTTGTGTTTTTGTATTTTTCTGCTCAGTTTTGTGTTTCCGTTACCGAAAAATGTGCATATCTTTATATTGACGAAACTTTTACCGCGTAATTTTTGGTATGTTTTAGAAATGATGATGTTGCACGATTTGATTATTTTCTGGAAAGTTTTCACCGGGTATTTTGAATTCTGATGTGTTTTATCGAATAGAAAATTATCTGGATGTTGAAAAATATTGCTTTAGTACAAGTAAAGCTTTGGAATAATGTTTTATTCGATTTCTGGTAATTTGGTAGTTTTCTGAAACTATGTATTTTGTCTATGTTTAGAATTTCTGTCGACTGCACGCTATTTTGAGGATTCTTTTCATTTGAGTTAAATTGTATTTGTTTTCTTTAATGCAATTACCATTTCTGGATGTTTGAATTGATTTGAACAAGAAGAAAGAATAAGAACAAAAGTATGTCGATGAATCATATCACTATAGATGCCTGAGGCGTCACAATAGCAATTCGTAATGTGCCTAATTTATTATTTTACTTTTTTATCTGTTTAACATAGGCTTCCCTGTAGCCCTCAGATCACTGTAAATAAAATATGAATATGTATACTTTTAATCTTTTGACAAATTTTTAAAACATAATTGAGCTAGTGAAAAGTTTTACCAAAAAATTTTCTTTCCACAAATTTCCGGTCTCCAATCTTTTAAGCTTGCTAGGTAGGAAGGCTGGATATTTGATATTTCTCATGGATAAATTTAAATCTAACAATATTCTAATAAAAAATATTTTCTTAAAACTATAAATTCAAATCATATATTTAATGATTAATTATTTATCTTTAAAAAATTTAAATTAAAGGAGAGGTGGCACAAGAAATATAGTACATTCGATCAAATTCGTATAGTCTGAGCCAAAGTTTCTCGGACCAAATAGAGGTAGCGAGCTTGCGAGCTTGCGAGCTATAGGAGTCCATCCACACAAACACAGAAAAGCGATAAGAGAGAGATGGCGATGACGAACGCCTGGGTTGCACAGCCCCGTGTCCGGTTACAATCGTGCCTCGATCCGCCCATAACCCATTTCTCGCCGTCCTCGGTGTCTTCGCCGATTCCTCAGCGGAAAAACAGCCTTCTTGGCGAAGCGGGAACTGCTCTCAAGTGGTCCTTCAGGGCTGGCCGAATCACACCGACCACCATCTCCTGTTGCTGCTGTGGTGGCGGCGAAGTTTGCTTGGAATGGAATTGGAGCCGATGGAGCCGCCATTTCTCGGAGATGGACCATGCCGAAAGCTTCACCTTCGTTCTCAAGGTAGCCCATTTCCCGGCACCCCACACCTTTTCTGCTGGGAAAAAAAAAAGAGAATAAATAAGATTTTGTTTATCGAGAATTTTTGTCCTTTTATAGTATTGACGTGCCTTTTCTATGGTGGATGCCTTGTTATGGTGTCTACACTGTGCTCCAATCTTTAATTCCAGGTGAAAAAGGAAACAATTTCGCTTTCCTTTGCCGCTACCAACGAAAGGACTACTAAGTAAGCAGCATGAATGTGTCATTAAGTGAAGATTAGGACCATACAATTGGTAACCTGGAATTTCTGCAGCTAATTCAATAGTTGGACTATGAAATGTGGACCTCTACCAAATTCTAATATGAACTCGGACAAAGAAAACTCTTTTAACTTCATCATCAAATATGTGATCTAGTGCATCTGAGGAATTTTTATTCTTCATTATTTAGAATTAGCTTGAAGAAGGCTAAAAAATGCATTTAAATTTTCAATGAAGCAGCATAAATGTGTCATTAAATGAAAATTAGGGCCATAATATAGTAACCTGGAAATCTGCAGCTGATTCACTAGTTGGACTACGAAGTGTGGACCTCTACAGAATTCTAATTTGCATGCGGACTAAAGAATTCTTAACTTAATCACCAAAGATGTATCTAGTGCACCTCACAAATTTTTATTCTTCATTATTATTTGGAGTTAGCTTAAAGGAGGATTCAAAATGAATTTAAATTTTCAATGAATCCTAATTTCTGGCTAATGACATGAACTATAGATGTTTCATTATCTTAAAGCAATGGCAAATTCAAAGATCAAAGTCTTGAAGATACGTGGTATCTTTGTTAAGGTTGACGTTCCCCACACATAACAAAATTCCAAAGAGGATCAGGTTCTGTCGATTTGTGTATTGACTATTGCGCCATCCTTTTACATTGTTTAATTATAAATAATAATATATCAGATATTAACTTAATGTGGTCTAGATGAGTGAGCTTGCATTTCTCATAGGAAACATACTGATTTATAATATTTTCATTTTACTGTTTGTAACTTAGATGCAGTTGCTTTTGGTTCATTTCATATTGTACATTTCAAGGTTTAAAATTGCGTAAATAAACCTCAAGGCGTTTTTCTTACGTGAGGCGAGGCGTAAGCCTCGAGGCGGTGTGAGGCGTAAGCCTCACGGACGAAGAATTGCGTAAATGATAATTTAAGGGTTTTAGTTGGTAAATAATAGTAAGATTCTATCATACAATAAAAACATCTAAATGATAAGTGAAATTAGTGGAAAGCATGCACTCATGAAGAAGCAGACTAACACTAACAACTATTAATAAATATGATGAATACAACAATATGCCGGGTTGCCGGGGGTCCAAGGGGGTGCTGCCCCCTGGCGGGGTTTGTATGGAAAGATACCTAGCGGTACCAAGCATGTACCTAGAGGTACCGAGCATGTACCTAGCGGTATCGAGCATGTACCTAGCGGTATCGAGCATGTACATAGCGGTACCGAACATGTACATAGTGGTACCGAGCATGTACCTAGCGGTACCGAGCATGTACCATAGCTGTCAATGGCGCAAAATAGCGCCATATTCATGGCGAGGCGCATGTGAGTAAAATAGCGCGCGCTATTTGCGCCACATGTGAGCCATGGCGCATTGCGCACGGCGCAAAATAGCGCGCCAAATTGTTTTTAAATTTTGGTATACTTATGAATATTTTTTATACCGCTCGGTACCGCTAATTACATGCTCTGTATCGCTCGATACAGCTCGGTACAACTAGGTACACGCTCGGTACCGCTAGGTACACGCTCGATATCGCTAATTACATGTATGATACCGCTCGGTATCGCTCAGTACATGCTCAGTTCTGCTCGGTACATGCTTTGTACCACTCGGTACAGCTCGGTACAGCTCGGTACAACTAGGTACACGCTCGGTATTGCTAAGTACATGCATGATACCGCTCGGTACCGCTATGTAAATGCTTGATACCGCTCGGTACATGCTTGGTACCGCTCGGTAGATGCTCGGTACCGCTAGTTACATGCTTTGTACAGCTCGGTTTAACTAGGTACACGCTCGGTACCGCTCCCTAATTTCCATACAAATGAACTTCAAAATTTTTCTTACAAATAAATTTTGTTCCGGGGGCAGCGCCCCCTTGGACCTCCGGTAGTCCTCATATTATGTTTCTTTTATCTAAATTTGTTTGCTTTTAGGTGATCATAAAATGTTAGATTCAGTTCTTATAGGATTATGAAGTAGCGGTACCGAGGGTGATGAAGAGGATTATGAAGTAGGAGACAATGTTGAAGAAGATAATGAAGTTTTTTTAATATTTGCTGATGATGATGATTCCCAAGAAGAGTAGATTAAATTCTTATTTGATCTTTAAAAAAAAAAGATTGTAGTATTTGAATTATGAGATATTTGAATGTTACTTAGTCGAACTTATATATTTTATGGTTGTCTTTTATTATTATGATAGCTTGTCTTTCATTTTTAATAATATTTCATATTCATGCTTATTCTTTTATAATTTTTATATAGCTTGCACCATGTTCAAAATAGCGTGCGCTGCGCCGTGCGCTATGCGCCATGGCTCCAAATGGACCTTTGCGCCATGGTGCGCCATTCGCCGTTAACAGGTATGACATGTACATAGCGGTATCGAGAACTATGACCCTAACTTTCCTATAAGTTGAAAAACCAAACCCTAAACTTAAAAAGACCTCTAAGAACACTTGAAGAAGTAATGTAGAGGGGCGGCCGGAAACAAAGGACTCACCGGCGAGAGGCGGCGCTGGCGGGAGAGGCGGCGTAAATGTGCGGGAGAGCCGGATCGGGCGTCTACGTGCTTCCTGCGCGGCTTCGGTTGACGTCTTTGGTCGGGTAAGTGGGTCTTCGGTTGGGTAAGTGGGTATAAGGATGAATTTAAGAGGTTTTTTAAGTAAGTGGGCCCCCATATTAGAGGCGTATGCCTCAAAGGAAATTATGCAATAACGCTAGTGAGGCTCGCCTCACTCTACCTGAGGCATACGCCTCATGATGCCTGAAAATTGCCTAGGCTTTGAGGATATTTTGGAGCAAATTGTGCAAAGGCGCACCTCGGATTTCGCAATTTTAAACTATGGTACATTAACAAATTTTTTTTGCTAACTATATTCATCTTGCTATACACGTTCTCAGTAAAATGCTGACTATCTCTTAATTGTTAACAAGTTCTCTGGCTGTTCATTTGAAGATTATGCCTTTGAAACTCATGGACTTTGTTATAATAAATATAATGTTTTCAATATTCGAAGCGCAATGCAATGTGAAATGATTATTTATCATTTTATTGGTCAAAACACAAAATGGGTAAAGCTTTTATTAATTAGAGAGCTTAAATCTGATATATCATGTATTCGTTGTTGCAATACAGGAGCCCAACTTTATATTTTGCTGATTATAAATATTATTGGATGTTTTTTTGCTTATTCATGCATTGTATATTGGATATTTGTTTTTTGTGTTGCTAACTATTTTAGGTACAACATACACCAAACAAAGAACTAAAGAATCCACTTAAGATATTGTAGTGTGCATAATTTAGTCTTTATTTTAATTTTTACTGAGTCTATATTTTTCATTTTTCTTGATTGAATTTATGTATTAGGTGCATGTTGGCTTAGCAATCGTGCACACATACATAAACATACAATCACAAACAAGAAATCTAATACTCATGCATAGAGTAAATGTAATTGGCAGTAGAATGCTTTAAAATTGGACGAGTGTGATATGCTAGAATAAAAAAGTGCTCGAGTAGGAATATCTAAAATTATAATATTACATATTATCAATTCTGGAGAATTTTTAGTTTCATGGGATTTAGAGCAAAGAATCAACCCAGAACACCTCTTGCAGCCCTAAGATGCTTCTCCCTTTTCTTTTAATACAGGTATGACACCTCTATACTGTTCTATTATCTAAGCACTGTTTGATTCTCAGTCTCCCAGGACATTTCTTTGGTAGTTTCTCTTAATATGGCCTTTCTCACCATAGAAGTAACATTTCCCTGAATTTAGCTTACATTTCCTTGAGTGGAACTTCCCACAAGTGGTATAAATTGGTGTTATATGCGGTTCTCTAAGCTATTGTTGTTGTTGTTGTCCTTGAATAAATTTTTATTTTTTAAACTGACCGCCCTTCCTATCAAAGGTTCTCTTCTTAATGCTAGTTTCCCTTTTTTTCTCACCATATCCATATCTCACTCCAACAACATGCTGCTCTCCACCAATTTAGGGAAATTCTTAATGCATAAAGGAATGAGAGGCTATCTTAATTGATCTGTTAGGGAAATTCTTAATGCATTTCTCAGTAGAAGTGTTGATGAGTTATGGGGTATATCTTGGCAGAGTTGTAACTTTTGCCTAGTATTGAATCTCAGCCTTCGTTCCCTATGATAGATTCATGAAGCTCTCTTACATAGATTGTCTTGCTGAAGGAGGCTTACTAATTTTTGAAAACTTGTTCAATCTTGTTCCTGGGGACTAGCTTTTCGAGTATGCCTTCAAATTTCTCCAAATGTTGACCTCTCCACCATCGTTTTGCTTTTCCTTCCAACATAAATATAGCTAGAGATACCCATCAATCACTAATGCATTTCATCTCATTTAAGATCTTTTCAATCCTGATTATCTAAACTTTAGCAGTTGACATCCAATCATTCCGCGAATAGAGAGGGCTTTAAATTTTGAAATAGCTATAAATGTTTGTCCATCTCTACACTCAACAAGGAACTTGACTGCTGCCACTATTTGTGTGATTGATATAGTTGCTGGTGTACTCTATGTGATTTAGGCTTTATAAGAGATTTCATTTTCTCCATCATTCATATCATCTACATGTGTATCATTGTCGGATATTCATTGCTCTGAGTGCATAGCCGGTGTCGTATTCTCAGGACCCTCGGAGGTATGATCGAAGCAGTCTATCGAGCACTGCTTCGATCATACCTCCTGCTACATCAAGAAATTATTACTATTTAGTGCATGATCATATGGCCAACTTGAACTTATGTATAAAAGATCATATATATGCACAACGTGATGCTAGGATTTATACTAGACATTTACATTCCATCTAAAAATTTAACCTTATCTAGAAAGCAAAGTCTTATTTAGAAAGACTATCCTCACCTATGCTCTATAGAAACTTGTCACAACTAATCTTTTCACACTATACTCTGGATTCGAGCATGCATCCGTAGTAAATTTTTAGAATTTTAATCTAACTCTGATATCACTTTTTTTTTCATGCTTCATGCCAACCACACTCCTACCAATCAACGAGAAGCATTGCAAAAGAATTCTTACAATTCATTCTACTTTTCATGCATTAATCATTCATGAATATTTATGAAAAACATCAACCTTTATAAATAAAAAGGAAGTTGTTCGAAATTTCATTTATAATTTATATCTATAGTGCAACTAATAATCTCTAACATTCATGAAAATAGATATCTTAATACATCCTATTAGCATTTAATTTAAAACTGTACATAAAAAGATACAATAATAATAACAACATCGTCAAGCCTTTATCCCACTATGTTGAGTCAGCTACATGAATCTATTTTCTCTATTGAGTCCTATTAAGAGTCTAATTCTCATTTAAATCTAATTAAAAAAAAAATTTATTTCTAATGCTTTCTAACAAAGTCTTTTTAGCTCTACCTAACTTCGTTAGCATAGCCTAGATATAAAACATCTACTCTCCTAATTGGGTCATCGAAGGGTTGACATTTTATGTGACCAAATTATCTAAAGTGACTCACTCTAATCTTATTTGCCACTAGAGCTACTCCAATCTTTTCACGTAAAATGTTGGTGAACTATAATGCTTAGAAACATTTGCAATTATAATACAAGATTCAAGTGTACAAAAGATGTAACTAGCATATAAATATAATGGTTGTATACTTGTATGTACTTAAGTTGTGCATTCTTTATAAATTATCATTAATATATCCATATTGTATGAATGAGTTGTATATAAAGACCAGTAACATTAATATACTCACCTAAAGTAAGAATACAATATACCAATTATGATACTATAGGAAAAGTAACATCATGTCTGTTATTTTAAATATTTAAAAATTAATTTAGTCACATAAATGTTTCATTTAATTGAACAATTTTTCTTTCAAATTTTATGTTCTTTGTAACCTAAGAATGTATCTTGTCAATATATGTAGGTTCAAGCTATATCTAGCTCATAGATTTTATAAAACTATGGTTGCATTGCCTCTTGAGGTCACATTTCCTCAATAGCTTGTGGACTTTATACCAAGATCATATTGCCTCCATTTGAGTCGCATTTCCCATTGGGTTGCACTGCCTCACCTGCCTATCGCATAGCATGATATTTTTATGCCTATCAGATTCTGATCACAACATTTACTATGTCATTTACACTTGTGATCCATTACTTTAAAATGTAATGGTATACAATGCATATATAAGAAAAAGCCTGTATAGATAACCTGCCTTTCATTTAATAATGAAACATTTAGCAAAACATAAATTTTATACCAACATATTAGAAATACGTGATTCCATTCAATTCTAAGTAGAATTGTTAATAAATAACACACTAAACTGGTTCCGGTGTAAGGGTATATGAACAAGGTCAGAATACTTGCTTTTTGAATTATATATTACATATCTTACCTCCGCGACGAGCTGTTTATGAAATTCGGACATCTCAAACTTGCCTACACGAATATATCACCTATATTAATCTAAATTTCTTAATTTGATAATTTCCACAATTTCCATCGGCACTAAAGAGAGACATTAAATTTTTTCGTAAGGTAACACATCTCCCAATTCCCTCACCTTATACACAGTTTAAAGTCGTCAAATTTCTACTTTTTATGTTATACAGAGTTCTTAATTAACAATTGAATATATTTAAGTTAAACTTTTACACAAAGAACTTAATTATAACAAACAAGTATCTATATATAAACTATCAAATTCTCATCTTTTTTCCTTCTCTTCTCTCTTTCTCTCTTTCTCTTTTTTACTTCGTTCTCTGTCTTCTTCCTCTTTTTTTCTTCAAACCTGACAACAACCTTCCTTACATTGGCTTGCACCCAAACTCCACCTCCTAGCCGACTCCAACACTCCAAACCCTCTACAACCTGAGATCTCGCAGCAAAAAAATGAGACTTCGGTTTGGCAGCGAAGTGATTAAATCACTAAACAAATGCCAATTACCTAATTACCTATACCACCTTCCAATGCATGCCTTGATAAGTGACTATGCCGAATCTTAAATGACTCTGTTAAGTGATTTGCTTGAATGAGTAGTAAAATAAATATTTTAACTATAGGAAGTTTATTAAAATGAGATTTAATTCAATAACTTTCACCTATGTGCAAATTAGCATATACTTTTATATATCAATTTGCTTATTTGACGAGTAGAATTCAATGTCATTCTTCTTGATATTTTTTGTGAAAGTTATTATTTTAGAATATTTTTAAATTAAAAAAGTTGGCAAAATACCTTAGGGGAATTTGGGTGTTACAATTTAAGTGGAGTGAATTGTAAGATTCAAACATATGGGGAGGGCTTTTTTTGATTGAGATTTTTCTGGAGTAGAACTAACCCTAACATTCCTTTCTCTTTAGCTATGAGAAAGGATCATGATGCATTAATGCTAGCCCTAGTTTATGGAATAAAGTGGCCGCCCTAGTGGTGCTGCTGCATATATATAAGAAGTTATATTGATAAACTTTTTAATAATGTTTTCTATGATTTTCCCTTCATGTTCACACTTCCTAATCATCATTAAATGTTATTATAATAGCTTATGTTGTTACTGTCTTGGTTTCCTTTTTTAGATTCACTTGATATGGACTAACATCAATTAGCGATTGAGATATTTGAAATTGTTCCTCAAGGATCATATATTGTTAATGTAAAGAGGGAAAAGTTATATGATTTTTCTATGATCTTTTGTTTGTGCTTTTCTTTCTTAGATGCATCATCAAACATTGTTCCCTGTCTTATTTAATCTTCCTTTTCACAGTTTTTCAATTGCTGAGGATTTGGGTCAATTTCAACAAAATGGGTATTTTAAGTCATAATTTTATCAACTTTATGATTTTGGCAACTTTTTTACTTTTGTGATAGTCTCAACTTGAAGAGGCTATTAAGAATGAGGACTTTGTGGAAGCTTCCAAACTGAAGACAGGGATTACTGAAGCAACATCAAAGGACGTTGTAGCACAAGTTATTTCTGAATTGAGGGTGTGTTCATCGTTTAATATACTTTCCATCTTTTTTCTCGAACGCTCACATTTTTAATATTTTCTTTCATTATCTCACAGAGCGCTATAGAAGATGAACGCTACCATGATGCATCAAGATTAAATAGGCTTCCAACTGGGCTTGTAAGTTCTCTTAGTGGTTTTGATTCTCCTTTGCAAATTCAGTATTTGTGCCTATTAGCAATATTCATTTATCTACCTCTTTGACATTTTGGATAGACATTTTTTTGATTTCCCTGCTCAGAAAAAAAGAGTAATTTTAATGGAAACTTTTATATTGAAGGGTATGATAATCTTACTAGCTTTACATATGCTTATGCGCACTGCTGGTTTGAAGCAGGTGTCATGATTTATATTTCAATGAGTGGTTTTGAAGAAATGTGGAACCTTGAACTCTAGCATCATGGGTGTAGAAGTTCATCTTCTTATAAATACTTTGTATGATATGATTATCTAAATGCATACACTACTTCAGCAAAGCTTCATCTATGAGAAGAAGAAATGTCGGGAGAATGATTTTATCCTTTAATTGCCTTAAACAACCCACTTTTAACGAAGATTTCATATGCGCATCTTAGGGTATCTAACACACGGTGTGACTTAAACAATAACTTAGTTTTGTTCCAAATAGTGACTCCTTTCTAACAGTTTGATGTAACTTCTTCATCGCATATAAATATTCTGATATCTTGAGTTTGAGATGTTTTATAGCTTTTTTATATGTCGCTACTTAATCGGAAAAAGTCAGGCTAAAGTTTTTTTATGTCAATTTATCTTTAGTGGTAATTACTAACATCTGGAGAAGTTTTGACCCAAGTCTATACTTTAGCAGATAAAATATTAAATTTCAGGCTGGAATATTTTAAATTTTTTATGATTTCTTTTGAACGATAATTGTCCTTGTATCAAGCTTGTATTCTGTTTCAGACAACAATGTTTGTTCAGCTCCATTAATTCTGATCAGGTTGGTTGGTGGGTAGGCTTTCCAGAAGATCTTGACAACCCTTTTGGTAGAATAGTGCGGATTTTGCCTTCTGTTGGGAGATTTGTGGGTAAGAGTTACAGTGCAAGGTATGCAATATTATGTTATAGCTGCTTTTTGAAATTGTTATCATAAGGTACTGATAATTATCTATTCAGACAACTGCTTACCGGAACGTCAGGGACCCCTCTCTTTGAAATCTTCTTGGTCAAAGATAGTTATGGGGAATACATAACACAGGTATTATAATGGAAAGACTTAAAGAAACTATCCAGATTACTAATAAAATATAAAAAGATCGCATACATGGAAAGACTAAAAAAATACCCTCCACTTGACTATAATACATTATAGCCAGATTGCATATACTTCTAATTTGTTGGTGGAATTTTTTGCCAGGTAGTAATCTTGCAACCGGTGAAAAGAAATTCCAATATTTCCATTTCATCACCTCTTAAAACTGGAGATAGTCCCACCAATGATTCTGAGGTGACATCCATTGAAAGGACACCTACTAAAGAAGATGTTACTGATAAAACCATTGGAGAGAAAGATGATCCAAGCATTAACTCCAAGGAGTCTAACGAAGAGGGGTTAAAAAGTGTGATTAATTTTCTCAAAGAAAGAATGCCTGGGTTTAAAGTCAGGATCTTGAATGCCAACAGATCTGAAGAAGTCAAAGCGCAATCAGAATCTGTAGAACAGAAGCAGGAATATAATGAAGAAAGTGCTACTAATGAGGATTCCAAGGAAAAAAGTAACCTTGAGAACATGCTGGATGATTCTGTTTCCTTGGATGAGGGCACCGATCCTACTGAAGGTGACAGAGACATGGCTGTGAAGCTTTTTATTGGCGGGGTGCTTCACAACTGCGAAGATGTTTTATCAAAATCATTTACTCGTCTTCCAGCGGAACTTCAAGGCGTGCAAAGAGATTCATTCATACTTCATGTTACTGGAAGTAGTGATGAATCAGATATTGAAGAGCAGAAAGCAACAAGAGTCAAGGTTGCAGCTATTACTGCTCAAGCTGCCTCAGATCTAATGCCTCCTGAAGTTGCAAAGGCCTGGAGCATGGATAAAACCAAAGTGAGAAAAGATGCATATTTAATTGCCTTGAAATGCGTATAATATTCTAGGGTACACTCAAATAATCATGCACCACCCTCCAAATGTAGAGAATTTTTTAAAAATCATATTCATACATTAACACTCAATCTAGAACATATATATTAGTCAGCTCAAGTTATAATCTTTTTAGAAAGTATAAGACTATGATGCATAGACATGAACATGACAACATGGATATAGGACATCAATTATTAAAAAAATAAAATACTAATACTGATTGGACACATTATTATTAATTTTATATCTAAAAAATAGTGTATGAAAATTTAATTAGTAGAATGTTAAGAATAATTTAGAAATAATAAGTCATTTAACTATGATTTATTTTTAAATTGATTAATATTAAAATGTTTAGAATTGGGCGTCGACATTATGTGTTAGGCATTGAGAGGGGAGATGAAATGCTGTTAAGAGTCGAGCATCATTATTGTGTAATGGGTATTAGGCATCCATGTCAAGATGATATTGATCGTCGATATCGAGATGTTGTTGGTCGTCGAAGTCGAGATGATGTTGGACAAAAATAAGATTTTGAGACAGTGCGGGGGCTTAATTGCTGGTGTAGAAATTATTAGCATTGAGCGTCAATGTCAATACAACATCAAACTTCAATATTGAGTTGATTTTTAAATGTTGATATTGTGTTGATGTTAGATGTCAATGTTGAGATGTTATCAGTTGTTGTGAAACTCTAGCCATCACTTGCCAAGAGAAGTGAAAATGAGAATGCTAAGGGAAATGGGAGTATTCTGTCCTAGTGATTGATTTTGAGCTATAGAGAGGAAATAATAAATTTATTTTTCTTAAATAAGTACAAATTTGAAATTCAAGAAATTGTATTTAATTTTTTTTTTTACATTTAAGACTCAATTGTCAAATGTTTTTAATATTTTTTAAATCTCAGTTATCTTTTGTGTATCCAACATGTGTTGGAGATTTGTTGGACTCATGTCGTGTTCTATGCATGTCGAATATTGCTTACCGAATTTCGTGTCGAGTCAAGCTAATTTATGAAAACATATAGAGAGTTGTGAAATGATATTTATATGAATTTTTATTTATCTTGAGAAGAAATAACCATGTACCAGGATGATTGATTTGTTGCTCATTAAGTAAAAGAAAACGCATTAGAAAGGTTTGTTAAGTCATTAAAAAAATGTGGAGTTTTGACTAGTATTAGTTGTAATTGTAGAGGGTTAAAGAGTTTTCAATTATAACAGATTTATGTCAAAGATTAATATTAAGTTCATAGCCTTTTGCACTAGTTTTAGAATGTTTAGAAATTGAAGAGCATTGCGAGAAATTAATTGATTTTTTTTAATATATGGCAAGAGAAATTCAAAAGGATTATCTGATGCGTTTTGGTTGTAAAAATACCCTCGCACATACTGAAAGTTCGTTAGAAATATAAAACCCTTATGAATTAGTCCCGAGGTTAACCAAGTGGGGAGGAGGGTGAATTGGATATTTAAAAAATTTCTTTAACTAAAAGAAAATCTTTATATATCTTGCAGCGAAAACAAATTAAACCAATACTCAAAACGACTAATCAGAGATTTCACCCAAGTAGTTAATCACAGTAAAAATAAAGTGCGAAAAATAATCAGAAAGAACACACCAGATTTTATAGTGGTTCGGTCAATTTGACATACGTCCACTCCCGGAGCCTCTTCTCTAGGTATTGCACTAAAACCACAGTGACTCTCCTTTTGCTCCCACAGCAAGGCGGAGAAGCCTTTGTAAACTCCTTTTCACCGACCCCGGTGTGGCAGAAAACCCAGACTCATTTTGCTTTCTCCTGAAGCAGGAAGAGAACTCCAACTCATTTTGCTTCCTCCAGAAGCATGCAAAGAACCTTGATCTAATGCTGACGAAGACCTCCCAAGAGCCACCAAGGAGCCAAGGACGATGATCGGAGAAGACGACTTGAATCATTGCTTGGAGCAACCTATGTGAACACCTCAAAAACTCACCCTCACAAGATTCTCTCTCTCCCAAGCTGTTCATCTCCTCTAAGCTCTTTCAGGTCAGGACAACAGCAAAAGATACTATCATTAACAAATAAGGGATCTTATAAAGGTCTTAAAAATTGCCCTAATTTGCAACTTGCCGTCAAAGATCGTCTAGGATAATTGACAGATCATCCTGTATGATCAGTGTATTTCAGCCCTTCCAACTAGGACGATCTATTTGTGCTGTACGATTAGAACATATTATTTTTCTGATCGTCAAGGACGATTTGGACATCGTCTTGTACGATTAGTTCAAAATCATACATATCGTCCAGCAGATAATTTTGGACGTCTAGGAGATACATGTTGGACGATGAAGAAATATAACTTATTGTCCAGGACAATGCTTGGATCGTCCTGTACGATTAGTTTAAAATCAGTGATTATCATCCATCAGATAGTTTGGGTCGTCCAAAAGATACATCTGGACGACGAAAAATTATTATTGATCGTCCAACAGATAGTTCAGGACGTCCAAGAGATTCAAGTAATAAGTTTTTTTGTACTGATTGTCCAGGACTATCCTGTGATCGTCCAGGGCGATATGATCGATCAATTTAATCTTAATTACTTTCCTTAATCACATGACTAATTTAGACATGATTGTAATGAATCGTCCATGATGAAATGGGATCGTCTTGTACGATTAGAACAAAATTATGAAAGTAAAATCTTGCCTAAATGAGCTTGGCGACTGAGTATCTTTGATATGAGGATATCGTCTAGGACGATGGGAGTATCATCCAGGATGATTTTCTTAAGCAAGTTTACATAATCCAGATGCCCTAATAAGGGTTTCTATTTTTAACTGATCATTTAGGACAATTTGAAATCGTCCTGTACGATGTAATTAAAAACAGAAAAACTCCAACTCATCAAATTCCTCCCCATGAGTGTGTGCTTACTTAGCTTCAGGATCCACCAATGTATATTTAACTCAAGAAAATATAAAAAATACATTGAAAAAGAAATTACAGACTGACTCAATCATAGTCTACTTGATCTTGAGCTGATTGACGTTCGAAGCGAATTTGTGGACCTGAAAGGTTAGTGAGCTAGGCACATAAAACAGATATGCATGAATGCCAGTAGTCAAGGAACAATAATATTTGTTATCATCAAAATCATAGTAATTGGTTTTAGATCTGCAATAATCTCTCTCTTTTTTATGATGACAAATATTGTTGTTGGAACATTTCAAATCACATATATATTTTTTAATTTATTAAAAAAAACAAAACATAAAACAAAGGAGAACAATCTAAGCAAAACAAATTTTACTAAAACAAGCAAACGATACAACACTGATACTACTCTTTTGACATCACAAAAAAGAGGAAACAGAAGAACAATCACTAATCAAAACATAGTATAGAAGCAAGTACAAATTCAGAAACAAACACAAAAACAAATTAAGAGAAAAGAGATAAAAAAAGTGATACATAATAAAAACAAGTAAAAATACAAAGAAAGGATGATAAAAAAAAACAAAAAAGAGCAGAGAATAAGTTTTTTTTTAAATCAATACTAGAAAAAGATAAATTTCCATTGTGATTGGATTAAAAAATTTGTAATAAATGAATTAACATCGATGAAATCCGAAAAACGGTAGAACAACTGATCCTGTTAACCCCAGCTCGGGCTTCTTACAGGTCAAACCATCTTTTGATAACAAAAAAATATAACTAAAAAAATCGGATAAGAAAAGTGGTCCGTTCAAAATTTCATTCCAGAAAACATATCTTATAGAATAATATAGCCAAGTAATTAGTCAAAATCATGAATTTTAAAAATCAAGTGATTGAAGATATCAAGTGGCATACGAATTCTTTTAAGATTTAAAGGTCTGAAAGAGAAAAAAACTTACTTTTTTGTGTGTTCATTTTGTGCCTTTTGTTTTTTGTTTGATGCTCTTTGCGCTTGTTTTAATTTTTTATATACTTTGTGTATCTTTTCAATTTTTGATGATCATTGTGCATCTTTTTAATTTTTTTTGGCTTATTTTAGGCTTGTTGTCATTTTTGCATGCTAGCTCTCTTTTGAAACCTTTAAAGACTCTCCGTTGTGAGATTATATTTCAAATAATAGAGAAGAAAAACTCATTCTCTAATATAAGAAGGAGTAAATTACAAAGCAGAATCATATTCATATGATAAATGCAACAACATGATCAAGAAAGCTTGAAAATGATTTAATGATTATGAACATTATTCATATGAGATATATCTAAAGATTCTCTTAATTGCAGTCAGGTGAGATTTCTTTGGATCAGCTTGAAACCTAGCACAAAAATACACTAAACATTATATCAGGTCTGCTAGCTGTCAAATAAAGGAGCGATTCAATTATTTATCTGTACTTTGTTTGATCAACTGATTTTTTATTTGAGTCTTTATCTAACTAAACACTGGAGCTCATGAGAGTGTTTATTGGCTTGACTTTATCCATTTCATATTTTTTCAAGATGTCCTTAATGTATTTCGATTGATTAAGAAAAGTTCAATCATCCATTTTCCTTATGCTAAATCCTAAAATGTAGGATTACTCTCCCATCATGCTCATATCAAATTCTTTACTCATTGTTTTAAAAAATAATCACTTAAATTTTTATCAGAAGTTTCAAAAAGTATATCATCAACATAGATCTTGATAATGAGTAATTCATCACCTACTATCCTCAAAAAAAGGGTGGTGTCTATGCTCCCCTTAACAAACTTCCTTTATAGTAGAAATGTGCAAGCCTCTGGGTGCCTGTTTTAAATCATAAAAAGTATTTTTTAATTTGAAAACATGATTTATAAATTAGGAATTCTCAAAGCCTGGGGGTTGCTCTACAAACACATCTTCTTTTATTACCTTATATAAAAAGACACTCTTGACATCCATTTGGAAAAACTTAAATCTTTTATAACAGACAAATGCTTGTAGCACTCTAATCGCTTCCAA